ATGCATTAAAACGTCAACTTTTATTTAAATGCCCTTCACTGTTACATCAAAGACTATCCCACCTTTGGGGACACGTAGTCAAGATCGTGACTTCACGTCTATGAATTCCATATCTTTTCGCGTTTCTTTTTAAAAGGTAAAGAAGGGAAGTGGGTCACGATGACACTCTCATGCAAACTGCTGGTGCTTAGTGTTTTTATACTATCCGATCCGATATCGGATACTAATAGTCATAATTTTTTATGGTATATGTATACTTAGTTTGCTCATGTATGTATAATTACATTTAACAATGTTAAAAAATCTATTTAAGAAGTATAATGGAAGGTATCCCCACGCTAGGATTTTTTTTCTTTTCGCGAGGAATCGAAACCGCGTCACGTTGCACGGGTTGGTTGCCCAGCCATCGTGCCAACCGTGCAGTCAAAATCGCTAACGAGTAAACATTTTTTTTGTCATTTTTGTACATTTTCAAATCAAAATATAGCAGAATTCTTAATATGAAGAATAATGTGTAAATGTATGAAGAATACTCTTTTAATTGTTGATAGTTGAATATATTTACACGGGTAATTAGGTATTATAGATCTAGTAAAAATACATCTTTATTCCACTGTAGTACTACACCAAGTGTAACCATTAAAAATAATATTATACACTTGGAGTATCACTTTGAGTCAGAAACCAAACCAGAGAGAATATACAATGTTGGCAATATAAATATACTGTTTATTACCAACAAGAATCACACCATTGCATTCCCCACAATTTAAATAGGTAAATATAAAACAAAAAACAATATGAAAAATCGTAACACAATCATACATCGTACTAGACCCGATACCGACGTCGGGTCGTATAGTGTAAAATCTCTTTTATATTAATACGAGGTCACTATGTTAAACATCTGTTTGTATAAATTTAAAGGTATATAATGACATCATATTATTATCATCATGACTTTAATTTGATAAAGAAATAAATATGTTTAAGTACTACAACTTTCGAGGGATATATTTATTAATGACATTGAATCTGATGCTCCGAGCTTAGTTCAGAACCACGTTCTTTTTATACGAATTTGATATTTTTTTGTACTTACTAAGAACGATAATTACATAGGTGGAAATATTCAACCAACTAGATCCAATCCAAAAAAAAAGTCTAACTTCGAAAAGAGGATGTTTCTCAATTTGACCGTACATATATATACTTTTATGTTATAACTTTCATGAGATATATTATTAAAACTTTATTGACTTTACTCTCGTAACTACTATTAAACGAGGAATTCGACTAGTTTCAAGCTACGCTAGGGGCTTATATTCATGAGCGCAACAAACGATGCTCGCTGCATCAAAACCAACAGAATCGAAATCCAGTTTCTCATCAAAAAATTATGTGTGTGGTTAAACTTAAAAACAAAGTAACATTGCATGTCACAGAAACTAATAATATAATTAAAAGTAGGCGAGTTTTAACTTTTTTGATAGGTCGGAAAACGAGCTGACGGATTACCTGATGGAAAGCAATCAACGCCGCCCATGAAGAATCGTACTACCAAAACTCAGAATACAGAACAAACCAGAAGGCGTCATCGCGCTTCAAACTGAAGTAACTAAAACCACTCATAACTAGAGTAGTATGAAATTTCTACGATCAGTCAATTTTGGCACGTGGCATATCGTGACGGATTTACGAGTATCAATTTTAATTTCATTATGCCGTCTTGTGTTATTACTACGAGTAAAAATGCGGCTGGAATTACGAAAAAAGTGGATAAGATTACATTTCATCTGCAAGCATCGACTGCAATAGTATATTTAATTAATTGTTGAATTATTTTTATCGATTTATTTTTCTATGAAAATGATGCGGCCATTTTGTGAGTGTTGTCATTTTTGGTGAAAATTTTACCCACTTATTTATTTGTTGTGGGTTATATTTTGGTCCATTATGGAGCCTATGTCATATTAGTTTACCTGACGACAAACAAAAAAAAAAACTTACAAAGGGCACGGTTAGATTAATTTCGGAAACCATCTAGCCAGAGCATAGTTTGCTCAATTCACCTTGAAGACATATATTTATGACAAATTATTTATAACAATATTAATTTAAATTATGACAATACATATTAAAAAAACAAAACCAGCAAAAAACGCAATAAAACCTTTGTACTTATTGAAGCTTTGTTTTATTTGTTGTGTGTAGTAGGTGTAACTAAATTTAACACAGTCAGAAATCGTTAACTTTTATGATACCTCTATGAAATGTGTGAACAACAAGTCTGTTGCATTTTTCGTAAGTTTACCTATTTTGTTGGGTTTACCCATATCTTACCCTCCTGTTGTAAAATTACCCCAAACCAAGGGAATTGTTCCACTGTTGGCAACACTACGCGGGTGGGAAGTGCGGGGATTGACGTATTGTTTTTGGACACATTTGACGACATGTAATTATGAGGGAACGCGGGTTCTGGTTTGTTCTGTATTCTGAGTACCAAAAGTGCATTACCGACCTCTTATGGGCTCTTAGGGATTTAAGCATAGGAGATTTGAGTAAGGATAGGAGATTCGGGAAAGATTGGGCCTCCGGTAACCTCACTCACACGGCAAAACACAAAGTAAGCCCGTTTTCTGTGTGGCCGTGGTACCACCCCGGTTTAGCCAACCCATTCCTGCCGAACAATAAAACTACCAAACTTTAGAAACAGTTGCTAATCAAAAATAAAGTTACCATTCAAAAATACGTCACTAAAACTAAACCACAAAACAATACTTAGTAGATATTATACAACAGTTTACGCTAAGCTAACCAAATAACAGATTCACGTGGGAATTTGTGTGGAATACGCTAAATACATTTTAGCTCACGCGGGCATCGATACACTTCATGGTTCATTTAGTTCGTTTTAATGCATACCAAAACCTGAAATTGTCGACTAAAAGCTTTGTTCGTTTATGCATTGGAATATTATCGATATATCCACGTCGAATTTCGTTTTCAAGTAGGTTACCTATATTTTGAATGCTATGATAGATTAATTGTGTTTAATATTATCTCAATATGGCGATTTTTTGACAGTCATTCACGTCCTTGGGACGCGTTGGACTTCAGTGTTGCCTTGTTTTCAAATTATAATTTAGATCCTGGCTTTCAGGATTTTTAGTGGTTTTAGGACGTAGAAACTTGTTAGTGTAATGTTTCCAAATACAAAAGACAAACAATTGCTTATAAATATCCAGTTGATTTTAAACTTGGAATTCTCAGCGCATTCTCTCTAAAGTGTGGGAGAGCTATGCTTCGGCACGAATGGGTCGGCTCGGCCGGAGTGATACCACGGCCTCACAGAAAACCACTGCGTTGTGTTTCGCCGTGTGAGTGAGGTTACCGGAGGCCCAATCCTTCCCCTTCCCCAATCCCTCCTCAATCCCTAAATCTCCAAATCCCTAATCCCTAAAAGGTCGGCAATGCACTCGTAACTCATCCGTTGCGGGTGTCCATGGGCGGCGCTGATTGCTTACCATCAGTTAATCCGTCTGCTCGTTTGCCGACCTATTACATAAAAAAAAAAACTCAGCAATTTCAATGTGGGAGAACCATACTTCGTAACACATAGGTCGGTACGTCCGAAGAGGATCACGGAAAACCGGCTTGAAACGTTCTATAGATAGAGAAATTAAAGAGGAAGGTTTATATGTATAGTCACATCTATTAAATTGTGGAGATATTTAGTATTAACATTACACCCGTGCGAAGTAGCGGCGGATCGCTAGTAAAAAATAAAAACTTTATGTTTTGCCCTCTAAATAATGATATTAAAATTAGCATTATTAGCATGCTTAGCATATTTTTTTTCCTTTATTATCAAAACATAAAAACATACAATTTTCTGTTACAATAGCACAAATAAACCACTGAGGTTTGTTCTTATGCTGCGGAAATCGGATGTGTCTGCCTTCCCTGTAAAACACGTGTCATAATGTTATCTTCTACCTCAGGAATAGCTTTACATTTAAACTAAAACATCCATTTTCATTACAAAACCAATACTACCTGAATGTTAATTCCTCCCTTTTAACCCGTCTGCTACTACAAACCCAAAACCACATTTAAATGTATTATAGAATTACAAATCCACTCAAATTATTCTAGACTAGTATTCGAACCTGACTTCACACTTGTTCTAATTTCCAAGTTTTACAATATTTTCTTTTTAAAAGCTTTGTAGTTATTTAATTTTCTAAGTATGGGAGAGCCAAGCTTCGATATGAATGGGTCGGCCGGGCCGGCGACGAAAACCGGCGTGAAACAACCACACCGTTATGTTTCGCCGTGTGAGTGAGGTTACCGGAGACCCCTGAGGAACGGACAAATCCCTTCCACTTTCCACATCCCGTCCCAATACTTTAATATCTGAAACTCGTAATTCCTTTCGTGTTGCGGGTGTCCATGGGCGGCGCCGATTGCTTGCCATCAGGCAATCCGTCTGCTCGTTTGACGCAGAAATATATAAAATATATAAAACCGCGCAAATATAAAAAAAAAACTATAAAACAAAGTCGCTTTCCTTGTCCATCCCTATATCCCTATTTATGTTAAAATCTTTAAAAATACGCAACGGATTTTAATGCGGTGTTTTATTAGAAACAGCGATTAAATGACGGGTACAATTTAGTATTAGCATTGCACCCGTGTGAAGCAGTGGTGGGTCGCTAGAAAATATAATAGATATATTTTTCCAATTACAATAAAAATAATATAGTCACAATTATATTCGACCTCAAAGTTTCAAACTCTGCACTAACGTTACTTCATCCAAAAAGGTATCACATTTTGAATCAAAAATAAAAACTAAATTCAAATATTTAAAGTTTGACAGGTACAGTTTGGAACATCGCATTTGTTTTAAGTCCGTCTGTCTAGTAGGTTCCGTAAACAAATAGTAAGCGGTCGGTGTGCATCGAAGTTTTTGTTGTTAAGTTTTAATAATAAATATGAGGGAAATAGTTCATATACAGGCTGGCCAATGTGGCAATCAAATCGGTGCTAAGGTAAGACCTATTCACCACTTTATGTATATCTATGTAGTTGCATAAAACAGACATTGAATGTCTCAGAATTTGACATCTCTGTATGTAGTCCTCCATATCACCTAAGTAAATTGTCTTGTTATCCAGATGAACCTAATCACAACATGAACATAGCACTATTATTATTCTCAATCGTCGAAATACCAGATTCAGATCCTAAATTAGTCAATTAAGACGTCAGCATTGCCGTAGTTAAACGCCGTGTACTTGACACTGACATCTATCGTCTGTTTCAGTTCTGGGAGGTAATTTCCGACGAGCACGGTATCGATCCCACTGGTACCTACCACGGCGACTCCGACTTGCAACTGGAGCGTATCAATGTATACTATAATGAAGCAACAGGCGGCAAATACGTGCCAAGAGCGATTCTCGTCGATCTTGAGCCCGGGACCATGGACTCCGTTCGATCAGGGCCCTTCGGACAAATCTTCCGACCTGACAACTTCGTTTTTGGCCAATCGGGCGCCGGCAATAACTGGGCCAAAGGCCACTACACAGAAGGCGCAGAACTGGTGGACTCTGTTTTAGATGTAGTCAGGAAGGAGGCAGAAGGATGCGACTGTCTTCAAGGTTTTCAATTAACACACTCCCTCGGAGGAGGTACAGGTGCCGGCTTGGGAACGCTTCTCATCTCAAAGATTCGAGAGGAGTATCCCGATCGTATTATGAATACTTTTAGTGTAGTACCCTCGCCCAAAGTATCTGATACTGTAGTTGAACCCTACAATGCCACCTTGTCGGTGCATCAGCTTGTGGAGAATACTGATGAATCTTATTGCATTGACAACGAGGCTCTTTACGATATTTGTTTCCGTACTCTAAAGTTGACCACACCGACCTATGGGGATTTGAACCATCTGGTATCAGCGACGATGTCTGGCGTCACCACTTGTCTCAGGTTCCCTGGTCAACTGAACGCTGATCTGAGGAAACTTGCTGTGAACATGGTTCCATTCCCCCGACTGCACTTTTTCATCCCTGGATTTGCGCCGTTAACGTCTAGAGGAAGCCAGCAGTACCGAGCTCTGACCGTACCAGAATTGACACAGCAGATGTTTGATGCTAAGAATATGATGGCTGCATGCGACCCTCGCCACGGAAGATACTTAACTGTAGCCGCTGTGTTTAGAGGTCGTATGTCAATGAAAGAGGTGGACGAGCAGATGATGAACATTCAGAATAAGAATTCTTCGTACTTCGTGGAGTGGATTCCGAATAATGTGAAGACTGCAGTCTGCGACATCCCACCTCGGGGTTTGAAAATGTCTGCGACATTTATTGGAAACTCGACAGCTATTCAGGAGTTATTCAAGCGTATTTCTGAACAATTCACTGCTATGTTTAGACGTAAGGCGTTTTTGCATTGGTATACTGGAGAAGGAATGGATGAGATGGAGTTTACGGAGGCTGAGAGTAACATGAATGACTTGGTGTCGGAGTACCAGCAGTACCAGGACGCCACCGCTGAGGAGGAGGGCGAATTTGATGAGGAAGAGGAAGGTGGTGATGAAGGAGACTAGACTGCTTTTGTGTCGTTTTGTTTAAGACTTGCATTGTATTTTATATTTATCGTTTATTTCATGAATACAATTCATGATGGCGTTGAGTTTGTTTTGTAATCCCTCAATTCACTAACGAAGGAACGAACTAAACAATTTTTGTAGTCAAATTAACTCATTTAGATTCAAGCTCTCTGTCCAAATAAGAGTACAGGGGATAGCAAAAATAGCTCCTGACATATCAACTAGACATCGTTGCTAGGCAACGCATTCAGTATGGATACCTTATATTTTTCTGTTTTCCGTGTTCCATGATTGGAAATAACCCAGTTACCTATCAATGAGGTTTTTTTTCGATTGGGTAAAGCAATTCTTGGTTCTGTTGTGGCCTAATCGCGTTATTGAGACAAGTCAAATTAGTTTGTGAACAGTTGAAGGTAAACCATTTATTTACATTGGTATAAAACTAAAGGGATTAGGTAATGAATCTTTTGAGGGGAAAATTGACTTCTCTCGCCCAGAGTGGGGAGGGAGGGAGTGTCAGACCTATTCTCAGCTTAGATCAGAGGGCCTACCATGACGTGCTAAAGCGTCAATCTTCCAGGCGAAAAAGAGGGATGGAGCAATACACCTTTTATAGCTCCATCCCTCCATTTCCATCGAGAAGGAACGGAGGGTTTTTAGTCAGTCTGACACTCTCTCTCGCCTAAAGGTACTTAGGGGCCTCAGAATACAGTTTGTTCTGTATTCTGAGTTAGGGGCCTTTATATCGCTTTTCTATCACATTTGACTCAAACAAGTAGAAATTAAATGAAGCAGTCTTGTTAAAGTGTAGGAATCTATGAATCTGTCTGCAAAACGCAGGACGCGGCGCACGATACCCACACCTATACGATGCGTGAACCAGGTTTAAGGCTAAGAACTCACGGAGCGATTTTGAACCGTGCCCGCCGCGGTAGCGGAACTGCGGTTTTATTTCCAAACTCACGAGACCGGTTATTTGCGCGGTTACACAGCCGGCGCGGTTGCGATCATCGCCCGCAAACGTGGCGGGCGATGATCGCAAGATTTCAAGACGGGCGGTTAACGATCAGTTGAGGTCCAGAACGCCATGGACACACACCAGAAACGAGCTGTTGCGTTATATTTACTTCACAGAAGACCCGCCGGCCCCCGCGGTCGCTCGCCAACCGATCGCAAAGCGCGCGGGTGCCACCCGCCGAGGCTGCGGGTAACCGCGGCCCGCGCGATTCTACTAGTTGCCCGCCGGTACAGCGGGAGCCGCATACAACCGCGTACCCCGCGGGCGTAAAACGCGTCGTGAAATGTGCTTTAATTTTTTATATAAATATTTGAATTCTACAGAAGCTGCGGGCCCGCAACCGCAGCGGACGCGGGCGAAAATCGCTCCGTGAGTTCTTAGGCTAAGCCGGCCGTTTCCAGTACTCAAGTAGGTAATTCTTGGACTTGAGCACACAAACCAAACAATATCATGATACGTTTTTGACCACTTCGTCAAGAAACAAAACTAACAGTTTAGTACTTAGCCTATATACCTGCCCTATATTTTCTAATATTTCATACACTTTAATTACGATCTTTTTTCTATTTAAAAAAACCATCTTGGCACGGGTTAACATGAGTTTCTTTTTATATTTCTTGCTATCAATAATTATAGCCTTATGTTACTCAATGTGAATATAGCTATCAAATGGTGAAAAAAATATTGTAATCGACTCAGTAGAGTTTTGAATTTATCCGTTGCAAAGCTGTGCACCAAAATATGTACATACCTTTTCCTCTTCATGATTCTAGTGAAGATATAGATATCAGATAGAAACATAAAGGCAATACATATGAAGCGGGCCATAATAGCAACACCGTAACACCAGCAAAAACCCTAAAACACACTTATAACAACCCACTATCGCACTCCTCCCAAAATATTGAACGGTCCAAGTCTGTTCACAAATAGCTGAGCTAAATAATTCATTGGTCGTCTACACGTTGCTAGGAATAAAGTGGAGTATTTTGAGAGCTAACGTGTAAGCTCAAATTGAGGAGAACTTGGATTTATGTAAAAGTACGTGATAATATTTGCTTGTAGTAGGATCCGGGGGTGGTTTGTGAAGAGCGTGTGGATTTAAGGGTTTTGTTCCATTGCAGTTCGGAAGAAAATATGGATTGGTTTAGTAAGCAACCGGAATTGTAATGTTACATGATTTACTAGCTTTCTCCCCCAACTCCGATCGCGTGGTATAGTGATATCCTGCAGATTTTTGGTATAAAAACTATTCTATGTCCTTTTTTGAGTTCCAAACTATGTCTGTACCTAATTTCACAGAAATCGGTTCAGTGGTTTAGGCGTGAAGGAAAGACAGACAGACAAAATCACTTTCACATGTATAATATTACTTTTGATTAAACTTACTGGGCCTTCAATAGAATCCAAAAATAGGTAACATAAGGCCACTGCCCCTTTTAAAATAGCAAACAAACAGTAAGTGTAGGTACCTAAAAACGTCTCTGAGAATTTAATTCTTTAACCAGATTTTATTAATTAATTATAAATAATATACTCGCCGAAAACGTATATTAAACAAAAATGAAACCTATAAAAGTGGACATTAATTCGCAAATCGACTGTGTAACCTTCAATAAAATGTTGAGTATCACAGAATTATTGACTTCTCGCAAAGTTTTTACATCTGCCTGACAGTTTGAGCTCTATAGGGGCTTCGACTTGGAATATATTTATTTACTCTCACATTTCATACTTTTATTTTTGTTTGCTATAAATATTATACAAAGTTTGTAAGTAATCTATAGGTATATTATTATACTGCTTGTGTTCTTTCTAATAATTCGTAAAACTGGATCGGACAATGTTTAAATTTACAAAATCTTAGTTAATTTGATGAGCTATGGTGTGGGAGAGCCGTGTTTCGGCTTGAATAGGTCGGCTCAACCGTAGTTATACCACGACCTCACAGAATACCGGCGTGAAGCAACACTTACGTTTTGTGAGTGAGATAACTGGAGGCCCAATGCTTCCCCATCCCACCCATCTTCAATCCTCAAATCCCTAAGATATCCAGCAATCGGCAACGCGCTTGTACCAACTAGCTTGGGACAGCGAGTCTCCATGGCCGGTGCCGATTACTTGCCATCAGGTAATCCGACTACACGTTTGCCGACCTATCACATAAAAAAGCATTACTAGTGAGAAATTATTTTACATTGCCTTTGACTTTGACTTGAAAAAAGGATTACAATTAATACTACGATGTAATATGATGTGTAGGATGATATTGAATTAATTAGGTGCGTGACATTTGCTATTTGTCCCGCTGTTGTTAATGCTTAAAATTGATAGAGTATTTTTTCTTATGTAGATAAATATTAAGATAAATGCAAATCAAGAATCAATGACTTATATCATCCCGTCACCTCTCTTTAAAGCAAAATGGCAAATATATCGATTTGTTATTACTACAACCATAATATCGCTCAAGCTGTTATCGGCTACAATGGAATCGAAAAAAAGACATCTCAACCTGAAACATTTAAATCGGAATCCAGATTCCATATTGAATGCACTTTATATTTTAGTAACACGAACCGACGATAGATGTCGCTACCAGCGGCCGCAGATGCCGCAACGAGACAGGATATTAAAACATTAATATAACTCGAAATATGTGTTTATTTTAAGTCTGCGAATTCAAAATGGCGGCGCAGTCTCTGAAACTGCACTACTCTGTGCTCTAGTTATTTATGTATGGTAGGATAAATCGTGAGGTTTTTGACTTAGTTTCAAGGCATAAATATCATGTAATATATGAAATACGTATATTGATGAATATTGTTTAGAGATTGATTTTTTTTTATGTGAAGGGTCGGCGATACGAGCGGACGGATTACCTGATGGTAAGCAATCAGAGCCGCCCATGGACACCTGCAACAACAGAGGAGTTAAGAGTGCGTTACCGAGCTTTTGGGGATTAGGGATTTGGGAATTTTAAGGATTAGGGAGGAATTTGGGAAGGGGAAGGATAGGACGGTAACTCCAGGCACACGGCGAAACACAACGCTGTGGTTGTTTCACGCCGGTTTTCTGTGAGGCCGTGGTATCAATCCGGTTGAGCTGACCCGTTTGTGCCAAAGCATGACTCTCCCACACTTAATTGATGAATGTAGAACAGTAATATAAGAGAAACAGGTATACCAGAATTGTGTCATTTGACGTTCTATTCGCATCACCCCAATTATAGGAAAGGTGTTAAAGTGTGAGAAAACCGTGCTTTACCAAGAATCAACCTTGAGAACTTGGGCTAAATGATACCACGGCCTCACATACAACTGGCGTGAAGCACGTTTGTGTTGCATTCCGCTGTGAGTCTTTCCAGAGGCCTAAGCCCATCCTCTTCTGGGCAACGTCGATTCTTTCCAGAGGCTCAAGCCCTCCCCCCATCCTCAAAACTGTGGGCAACGTCGATTGCTCACCACCAGGTGATCCACCTGCTAACTGACCGACCTGTACCTGTAGTCCTATGACTCAACCTATCGTACCGCGCCCCTGGCCTTCAGCAGGAGAAGGAACGGGGTGGTAGTCAGTAAGAGCTGGACACTACACTTCGGCTCACCTAGGGCGGGAGAAGTCATTCGATGATTTACCCCCTTAAAAAAAGATTGATCATCAATATTATAAATGCGAAAGTAACTCTGTCTGTCTTTTCTTCATTCCTAAACTATTAAACCAATTTCTGTGTAAATTGGTACAGATATAGTTTGGAAGTTGAGAAAGGACATAGGATAGTTTTTATAACAAAAATCTGCGGGAAGTCACTATTCCAAGCGAACGAAGTCGCAAGCAAAGGCTGGTTCAAATATTTTTCGATTTGAAACTTTTTCATTCTAATTCATAAGAAAACAAAAAATAAAAATCCAACTACCAATACGAAATAACACTTAAACTCCAAAATCATTCCAATAAACCAACAAACGTAGTCGAGTTCAAATAAAAACACCGCCTTTAGCAATTTTCAACCATTCAAAAAATTAAAAAATATTCGAAAGCCAATAAAAGTGGAGAGAGATACGAAAACTGTGTGTTTCTAGCAACATTTAGACCAGTTCTAAGTATAGCACGCAATGAGAGCCCAAGCTTCGGTACGATTGGGTCGACTCGACCGGAGTGATACAACGGCCTTAGAGAAAACCAGCGAGAAACAACCACAGCGTTGTGTTTCGTGTGAGCGAGCCTACCGGAGGCCCAATCCTTTCCCACCAAAAATCCTAAATCGCGCATACGCCTACTTATCCAAAAAATCGGCAACGGACCCGTAACTCCTCTGGTGTTGCGGATGTCCATGGGCGGCGCCGATAACTTACCTCAGGTAATCCGTCTGATCGTTTGCTGACTCAACACATAAAAAAGTCACACAAATCATCAGCCTATAAGTGCCCACTGCTAAGCAAAAAGCCTCTTCTCATATGGAGAAGGTAAGAGCATTAATCACAACGCTTGCTCAAGACCGATTGGCAATTTCACACTTATAATTAGAAATTTTAAGTCAAGGCTTCCTCGCGATATTTTTCTTCACCTTATGTCAGTGGTGTCTATAATCATAGAAAGTACATGTAACTCGGAAAAACTCACATTGGCACCTGTCAGGTTTCGAACCCTCATGTACAAGAAGCGGGCCTTATCCTCCAGGTCTCAACGACATCGAAAAAAAGTCTGAATACTTTAAAAGTGCATCTATTCGACGATCAATAACGAATCCCTGAAGCTCGGATATTTCGGTATCTCGGACGCGTAAATAGAAATTCTGCTAGTACGAGTGCGGGGCGGAGGCACGTCGCGACGCCGACGTTGCTCGATTTAGTATGAAATTAATAATGCAATTACGTTGAGATATTTCTGTCTTGATCTAAAATAGGTTCGCTGTTAAGTACATTGCTTGTTTACCTATGATAGCTTGTCGTGTGATAGTTTGTACAAAATATGAAGAAAAAAAGAATAGTTCCGTGGTTTTTTTCGAAATAGAAAAGTTTCGAAATTGATGAAGCAAGTGTGGGAGAGCCATGCTTCCGCATGAATGGGTCAGCTCGACCCGAGTGATAATACAGCCTCACAGAAAATTCACAGCGTTGTGTTTCGCCGCGTTTTGAGGTTGTCGGAGTTCCAATCTTCCACATCGTCAAAATGCCTTATCCCCAAAAAGCCAGCAACGCATTTTCAATTCCTTCCTGGTGCTGCGGGTTTCAATAGGCGTGGATTGCTTACCATCAGGTTATCCAGCTACTCATCTAACTTATCTAAAAAAAAAACATTTTATTAAACGGTTATAAATTTCATTTTCCTTGTACGCTATGGGTTTTTTAAGTAAAGTAAGTATGTACTTAACTTCAGGTCTTTTTACTTATTTTGCAGGATAGCGTTATACCTTTTATTGCGTCGATACTTAATTCATACCATATTCTGATGTCACTTAAATAGCAATATTAGAGAAGCGCATTGCGAAAGTGCATTTGTTGACTACGCTATCTCAACCGAATACTTGTAAAGTGCTGAATCGGCTTCACTAAATACGCGTCCTAGATATATTCCCGAGCTACCCTGATTGCTCCAATTACGATGTTTCCCAACAATTTTTAGATTTGAATTATAGTTCTTTGAAAGACAATTTTAGTTTTCTATTTTAAACCTTATACTGAAGTTGTGAAAGACGATAATTGGATAAGTGATGTACAGTTTGTGATTTAATGGAAGTATCTTGCTTTGTAATTAAATTTACTTTAAGTGGTAGGAAGTAAGCTATTTTACGAAAAGTCTGAGAATAGTTTTAATGTTTGTAATTTTGTACAGTAGTTTTTTTTATTTGGAGAAACATAATGATTACTCTAGGTGATGATTTATATGAACTTAATAGCTTGCAAGGTCTATGTCTTATCCATGAACCTATAACGGTTTTGGAGGTTAATACAACAATATGGTATCAGATTTTAAATTACAAAATCCAAAGAATCTATAAATCTTTAAAAATAAACATGTAAATAAAGTGTGTTTATCAAATATTTGCTTTTACAGAGCCAGCGAACAGGTTAATAGGTTAGCTTTTTAAGTCGCAACTAGTATTTACATGAAATTCAACAATTTTTTCATCCAATACCATTTTGAAACCTTGGCTTCAAGGTCAAAATTGTCGAAGCAACCGACTGCTGTCCAATCAGTCGCGGGATCGATTCCAAGAGGAATCAATTCTTTGTTTGAACAACTTTTTACTTATCGATCTACATAGGTACCTGTGAGAAATCATATTTTAAACGATACATGAGAAAATACTAGTGTAAAGCAACATTTTCTTTAAATAAGTATGTACATTCTAAAACATTCCTTTTCTTTCCCAGGGCCCGGTATAAAGGGCACGATGGCGATCCTGAACTGCTTGCTGGCGAGGCAGCTCTGCTTCGAGGACGCCTCCTGTTCCGCCATCTTGGAAATCATCCCGCGCGTCTGTGGATCTGAACTTGGTAAGTGATAAAATATGTTTCTATCTCTTTTCAAATTATCTGAAATGTAATGAAGGTTCTCGTCAATGGATCTGCAAGAAAATCTTCTCTCTTTCTCTTTTCTCCATCTAGAGCCCAGAGGAGTCACTCGATGAAGTCCCCCTATCTCCATAAATAGGCCGTAACAGTATCCAACTGTAGATAACCCTACCTGCATATATGACAGTGAGAGCCAAGCTTTGGCATAAATGAGCCGGCTCGACCGGAGTGATACCACGTCCTTACAAAAATTGACATAATGGCGTCACTCCTCTGGTACCATGAGGGTCTATAAATGGCGTTGATGGACAAGATAATCCATCTTTTCATTGTCATATCAAATAAAAAACACGTTCAAACGGAACGTATTTTGACTGCTCCTTATACAATTTTTTATCCAAATCAACCTTACTTTAAGAATATGAAATCTGCGTCTCTAATACACTGTTCCTTTTCATATTCTATTCATAATACAAATTACAAATAATATTTACAACATCGTCTTAAAACCTCACTTTTTCTAAGGCTTCTACAAAAAAGTGGGATCTTTTGTTAAAGAGCTCACATTATATATAAGAACGTACACGCTACACACAGCGTCATCCTTTCAACGGATGAAGGGATGTATCGCACACCGAAGCGTAATAAGATTAATCATTTGCATCGATGGATTAAACCATTATGAAAATTTATAGAATCAGGTGCGTTAGTGTTAAATTGCGGAAATCCATGACATCAACGACATGCGACATGATGTTTTTTTTTTGTCGCGGAATAAATTCTAAATATTTTTTATAACATTTAATTAAACCACATTCCTGTTCACATGTGAAGTTCCATTTAAATCCCAATAGAAAATAATTTATTTTTGTTTTTGCTTTATTGTGTGGGATCGAACACCGAAAAGTTTCCTAGAAAATAAAAGCACCTGCCTATTGTCATATTAAACACTCTTTTTAAGCTCAATTATACTTTGCTTAAACTGGAAAAAATCTCCCTTGCTGGACAATCAAAACAAAGACCAGTTGAGACGACAACATTAAAGAGGTAGTTGAAGGAATTACGAGTACGTTACAGGCCTTTTGGGGATTAGGGTTTCGGAGATTTAGAGATTGGGAGATGGGAAGAAAGATGAGACTTGCGGTAACCTCACACAAACACAACGCCGTGGTTATTTTACACCGGTTTCTGTGAGGCCAACTCCCAAACACTTAACTCTCTTCTCTCTCTCTTAAGCGTGGGAGAGCCAAGCTTCGGCACGAATGGGTCAGCTCGACCGGAATTATACCACGGCCTCACAGAATACCGGCGTGAAACAACCACAGCGTTGTGTTTCGCCGTGTGAGTGAGGTTACCGGAGGCCTAATCCCGCCCCCTTCCCCTATCCCTTCCCGATCCTTATATCCGCAACTATCCCCAAAAAGCTGGCAACACACTCGTAACTCCTTTGGTGTTGCGGGTGTCCATGGGCGGCGCTGATTGCTTACTGTCAGGTAATCCGTCTGCTAGTTTGCCGACTTACACCGTAAAAAAACCTTAACTAGCGTACTATACTCAACTGAACTTACTAAAGGCCACAAAAACTTTATTAAATTATACTCCCAGTGAACATGTACTGTGTAACACACGCCCCAGTATTTTGACCTTTCACCGCAGTCACTCTGGGGAGGAGAGAATAAAATATCAGAGAGGTTTACTAAGTGATGCGTCATCAAATAATCAACGGAATGACAAATGGATGGGATTCAGACCCACTTAGCATACACATACAAAATGTAGGGAAACATACAAAACACACGTACCTCCTAATGTGTTTACAACGTGCTAATGTTTTGTGTACTTTAATTTGTATTTACTTCAGTATTCTAGGGTCTGAAATATCTATAAGGTTATCAAAAGCTTTTCTCGGTCTCAAAATACGGTTTAAAATTTGTAAAATCTAGGAGTTGGGTCATTAATATATGCATAATAATGTTCAAATCGATAAATACTTTTCACTTATTAATAATACTAAGAGGTAGTCAGTCGATATCTAATTAATTATTCATACTTAAGTATAATTTGTTTTCATTCTAGAGTCTAGTAATGTCTAGCTGTTTACAAAGTAATTTGACCTAAATTAATAAAATATTACAAATGTATAGATTTTCTATTTGAATGTTTATTTGTGTACGGTGTTCTTAGACCACTACACTCGTGTCCCAACAGTTTCAGAACTTGCTTGCCCTTAGTCCTTTCCTCCATCGTACCATCAGACAATCGACATAACAGTTAACGCTTCACGGTAGATGTCAAACCATAAACGAAGTGATAACCGCTAAGGAGTGGAGTTCTTTGCCGGTGTCTGTGTTCCTCTGAAAGGTATAACCTGGGTGTCTTCAAAACCAACTATCAAATGAGTTATTGACCCATTTCCATTACAAATAAACTAAAACGGTCTAAAGGCACGACACTCAAAAACTTACCTCGAATACCCACAAATTCTGCTCATCCCCTTAGGAGTAAAATAAGCTTGACATTAACGTAAAACTCCATTCCATAAAAACATTAATTTCATACATTTAATCTTGTCAAAAGTTTCAGCTGAAATTTCTTTTCTTGTTTTAATCTGTATAACTTTCAGGCCACACACGATTACAATGTTAAAAGCCTTCTCAATGTTTAGATGTTTCTTTAATAGCTTTGACTTTTTGACGTCTGAAAAGAGAATTAAGGTATCTAAGCTGTGAGATAAGCGAAAACTGTGACCTTACCAAAAAAATATTTGATAATTTTCACTTCTGCTTGATTACTATAATATAACAACGTGTAAACACGAGAAAATAAAAACTCGCTTTTAATTTACTATATATCTTTTTCCAAGTAACATGTTCATGTTAAGATAGTGTAAACACCAGAACTTATAATTATATGTAAGTCTGAAACATCAACACACCTTGAGCAAGCATAGTGATCTATGTTGAAATCTTCTTCATGCGAGAAGAGACGTTTGCTCAGGAGTAATCACCTTTAGGCTGATGATGAACTTTAAGACTAACACCCGGTTTCTATAAGCTTGTCAACGCTAAAATTAACTTATCTCCTGTTAAATCTCTTGTCAAGTCATCTGATTGGTTGTTGATAATTCAGTCAACCAATCAGATGACTTGACAAGAGATTAAATTGATTTTAACATTGATCGGCCTTTCGGAAACCGGGTGTAAGCCTAGCAAGAAATGACTCCGCTCATCTCCCAATAAGACCTCCCGAAACAATCCCATTAGCTTAACTTTTCACGTAATAAGACTTTTGTATTTTCATTCCATGATAATATATTATTTAAAAAAGGTTTCGTCCTTTAAGGTTGAGGTGACCTGAATCCCACACCAACACATCTGTGAGTTTTTCAACTTTGTAATAGTAACTGATAGGTGTATAAGGTTCTGTTTTATGCAAGAAACTTTGAACATAAGATTATATTATGTTACTTGAATGGTCTTAGGATCGAATTCTTGATTGGGGAATATGTTACTGTCTATTAATTGTCGATATTTTTAGTCATAGGTAGATCGCTCGCTGTTTATATTGTGTACATCATCAGGTTTTAAGCGGCTACTCTTGACAAAGTGCTTCTCATCCGAACGAGGTTTGAGCATTAATCACCATGCCTGCACAAGACAGTAAGACAGAAATTTTAAGCCAAGCTTTCCTCACGATGCTTTCTTTACCCAAAATCTGGAAGGGGCTTTTTTGTTAGGGGAAAATCATCAAATGACTTCTCCCGCCCAGGGTTAGGCAAGAGAAAGTGTCAAACTCGTACTGACTAAAACGCCCCCGTTCCTTCGTTCTTTCTCCTGCTCTTTGCCGAGACCGCGGTAACTTATTGCGAACTGAAAGGGGCTGTGATTGTAATAAAGCAACTTCAACTACATAAACTCAAAAGACCAAGCATTTCCAACACCAAAAAGTTGCCTTCGTCATTTTCGAGACCATTAACCATATTGGAATTTGAACATCACCATGGCCAGACTTTCCATACCAGTTTTTCCTTCACAAAACCTATAACCCTAAAAGCTGACACCAATAACAACAATAATAATTCATAGATAATCCTATTACCGTTACCTACCCTTAATATCGGCCACTGGAATCATAACAATGATTTATGCTTTACCCAAAATACTCACCTGGGTTTGCTCAGGGACAATACGTCAAAAAATATATTAATAACCCACCACTTGGTAACAAAGATGAAGGTACAATAGGTGGCCGGTATTGAGGGTAGGTAGGGTGAATATGCGTTAAACTAGAGCAGGATAAGTCTTGGTACTAAAAACACAATAAAAATGTTGATAAAGCTTTTTCAAATGTATAAACGGCTCAAATCTATGGTGAAATCATTCAATATTCTGATTTCAATTTTCAAATTGAAAATAGTGTTTATAATATGCCCATCCATGGGTGGCGCTAATCGGAAACCACCAGAAGAGTTATCTTCCTCCTATTCCATGAAAATAGTCTACTACTTCAAGTGCTACATTAAATAATATCATAGCTAGCAGTGTATCTACTTGAAATAAAATTGTGCTAACAAAATTTCTTCCAAAAACTATCGCAATACTTTTTTCAAAAGAAACGTTGCAACACATTACGATTGTCTTCTGTCTTCGGTGCGGGCGTGGTGCAAACATACAATTTCATAGACACATCGAACCCAGAAACGAAACAACAATTTGCTGATCACACAATTAGTTATTCCGTGCAGGAATTGAATCTGCGACACGTTGCACGGCAGCCGGTTGCCCAGCCACCGCATCACATAATACTAAGTGTATATAAATGAATCAATGAAGTGACAATTTTAAAGTTTATTGTACTCAACATACGTCACGTAGTGCAAATATTTAGTGACAATAGAGTCAAAACAATACATATTTAAACATGCATTTAATACACAATTAATAAAAAAGAGTCCCACAGTTATCCCAATTTGATCCCGAACT